TTTTTTTTGGTTTTTCTCCGGTACCGGGAACCGAACTCACGACCTTGCGCTTGCCAGGCAGGCGCTTTTGCCGCTGAGCTAAATCCCCAGCCCCGCTAGGACCTCTTTGGATCATTCCCTCTGGGCTGTGTTTATTTTGAAGTTGTGTTCTTAGGACTTGTAAAAGCAATGCAGAGATGTTTTGGACCCTGTGGGAACTGGTGGTGCGTTGTGATCTCAGCTCCTTCAGAAGGCCCAGAGCCTTCGGAGATGGCCGTCCATGGGTGTCGCCCCATGTGGCATGTGTGCCTGAGTGCGTGTGCAGCAAGAGAGAGAGCAGATACCTTGTGAGCATTGTCTAGAGGACGGGGCTGCTTTTATGGAAAAGCGATTGTTCCCTTGGAGGCCACATGAACTATGTGAAGAGATGTCAGTGTAACCGACCAAAGCACGCAGTGGCTTCCCCAGACCTTGCCACACAGCAGTGGCCATGAGCATATAACCCTGAGAACCCGCCCTAGCGAGTCCAGAGGAAGCTGAGCAGCTGCCACAGGCACCGGGCAGTTCAGTGGTAAATTTTCCAAGTACATAACCGGGACAGACTCTGCTTCACCCTGTATAGAAAGCCTTTCTTGGACCTCATCACGGTTCCGTGAAGCTTTTATTTGTAATCCCAAGGGAAAGTTATTGGAATGCTAGTGAATTAATTTCACTTCCAATGTAACCCATGCTACAAATAAAGACATAAAATATATGTCACAAATAATATATCTAAGGTGGTGGGAGCCACAGGGGTCCTAAGTCCAGCCAAAATAATGGCTGACTGGAGCCTAGGCCTCGATCCAGGGCTGAACCCAGGTTTTATTAATGCAGGAAGAGGGCAGTGGCTCGGGGATGAGTGACTGGGAGAGTGGTGGGAAGGAGGTGAGCGCTGTGAGCTGGGCTAGGTGGGAGGCCTGAAATCACCTCTGCAATATGCAGAGAGAGAGATATGCAGAAAGAGTAATCTGCATATCACAGACTGGGGCACTATCTACTGTTTTAGGGTCTGTGTTTGTTCTGATGTGTCATTTGTAAGCCCTGAGAAGTCGTAGCCTCTTTTCTTGAGGCTCATTCTCAGCGGACAGCATGGCTTCTCTCAGCCTAGCTCACACGTGTTACTTGGGAGCTCTAGGCGGGGCTTCACTGACCTGTGGCATTGCTTTAAGGACTACACATCAGCACCTCGGCTAGACCCGTTTGATTTGCTTGAAGCCAGCTGAGGGGATAAAGACAAAACTTAGCCAGATCTGCACATATCAATATACGGAAATAAGGCCAGGTTTAGCCACAATAGAGACAATTGCTCTTCTTTCAAGGAAAGTCACCCAGGTGGTCCTCCACCACCCTGCTCCAAGGACAAGGATGTTTACAATAAAATCTGTGTGTTTGGAGCCATCAAGAGCACTTGCATTGTAAGTGCTCATATCAGATGTTTCCAGAAGCTCGCTGAGCCTGTGGTGCTGGGACCTCCAGCCTTGTCCCTGCTGCTCACTGGCCTCAGCACCCTTACCTCTGCCTACTGTCTCTGTCCCACCACGTGACCCAGGTAACGTGTCCTTAAACACTGGCTCCAGGCCCACCTCTGAGTTCATGGAGCAATGCCTCCTTAGCATGTGACAGTTCAAGGGCCACCTGAGCCTTTGTAAAATCAGTTCAGTCCAACCTAGTTCCCTATTTTCCCTTTCACTGTTGCTCCCCCAAGTGCAGTCTGCCGTTCATCCTTCTGAACTGTTTTCCTGTGTCTGTTCTTCCCTTCGCTTAGATGGCTCTGCCCCCGCTCGAGTCCTTCCTAATTTCTAACTCCATAGCGTGGAGGGGCAGGCTCCTGTGTGGTCCTTTATTTCCATCTGCCTCATCTCCGGACCTCCTCTACCCGCCATGTGTGTTATAGTTAATTGTAAGTACCAATTTGGTCCTGTTGACAGACTTTACATAACTTTTTCACACAACAAATACTTGAAGATATACCCTGTACCGAACAAGGGTTCTGATAAAATAAATGTGGTTCCTGGACTTACCCTATTTGTAGTTATAACAGAGAAGATATTCCAGGAGCAGAGTTTTTGGATCACCTGTTATGTGCAAGGCCCCAACCCCCTGGAGAGCAGCACAGCTGGGCCAGACACTGGAGGGGTCTCTGCCGCACAGAGCTTGTGCAGTATTGGGAGAGGGGCAGACCTCCGCCAATAATTATACAGATGCTTATTTACTTGCTGTGGTTATTAACTGCTGTGTCGGACAAGTCATGTGACAGTGGTTAGTGGGGATAATAGTGGGTTTTCCAAGAAGTGACATTTAAATTATGACTTAATGTAAGAATTTGCCAAACACAAGGTGAAGGAAGAAAATAGGTAGAGTGTGTGTGAAGGAAGCTCGGTCTCTTGAAAGAATTGAAAGAGACCTGTGTGGGCCAACCAGAGTCTTAAGAGTGCAGCCCACAGGTCACACTCAGCCCATGCCTGCTTTCCACAGCCCGGGAGCTCAGCATGGACCGGGTATCTCTAAAGGCTTGAAAAAAGTTGTAAGCAGTACATCTTGTGGTACCTGATAGTGTGTGAACTTTAAGTTTGACTCTCCATAAAGCTGTCCTGGCACGCTGGCATGGGTGTATTATCTGGGCTGCTTTCTTGCTGCTTCACAGGGCTGGGTAGTTTCAGCAAAGACCCAGTGGCTGACAAAGCCTAAAATGTAGTGCTAGGGGGTAGGGGTGTGGGTCGGGGGAGGAGAGGGCTTCCCAGCACACATGGGGACCTGGGTTCCATCCTTAGCTCAGAAGCCTGCTGGCCCCTGGTGCAGCAGGGTGTGAGAGAGGAAAATGAAGCAAGGGGGACCCAGCAAGCAAGACGGACCCAGACTTCAGAGCCTGCAGGGGTCCTAGGGTTTGTTCCCATTTTAATATGTAGCTTAGGAATCATGAGAGACCCTTTGCTTTCTTTTTCCTTTTTCTTCCTTGCTTTCTTTTATTACTGGGATTGAACCGAGGGCCACTGTACTGAGCTAATCCCCAGCCATTTTTTTTTTTCTGTACTGAGGTAGCAGCATTGCCCAAGCTGGACTTAAACATGGAGACCCTCCTGCCTCAGCTTCTCAGGCTGCTGGGATTACAGATGTCATGAGGTGCTTTTGAAAGGTTTTAGGCAGGTGGTTGCCATGGTTGTTGTGCATTTTAGAAAGTGCATGTGGCAACGGAGAGGTAGATTTGAGGGCCGAAGGTGAACGTGGGAAGGGATATGGGTATTGTGATGGCCAAGGCTGAGAGGCTCAGGAGAACAAAAAGATACTAACATTAACGATTACTCATTGTATCCTAAGCCCTGTGCTAAGGACATTTTATCCTTGTTTTAATTGTTCATAGCAGTTTTGTAAAGTAGGAATAATTGGATTTTTCCATTTCTGTAGGTGCATGTACTAAGACTGTTTTCTCAGATTCACATGGCTAGTAACTGAGATTCAAATCCAAGTTTGCTAACTCTGATATCTAAAATATCAACTGTGCTTCTAGAAGAAAAAGGTATAACCCTGAATTTGCAAGACAGTTTGTTTAATGGACATGTGAGACTAGGAAGAAGATATTATCAAAATTTTTTTGTTCAGGTTTCTAGCATGAATTATTGCACAGATGTCTTGCCTACCAAATTCTATCTCTTCTTCATCTCAAACACAGATGGTTCAATAAAGGTCCTTAAAGTATAATCTCCAAAAAAGGTAAATTACAGCTCTCTTGGAAACATGAAGTAAATATGTCTCAAAGATTTTATTCATTTTATTCATTAACTGGTGATAGATAACTAGATAGAAATGGTTCAAATGAGAATTTAAGAAGTTAGTTCTTTATGGGCAGTTTAATAAAGGAATGTCAGGATTAGATTTTAAGGTTAAAAATAAACCCACGTATTGCCCAATGCAGCAGTAAATTATAATTTATGGGATTGTCTTTCTTGCCAGACAGAAATAATTTACATTACCAGACAAAATCGTCAAATTAACCTCTGCCCCTACTAAGTTGTACACGTAGTTCAGTTAATCAGGAAATCAGTCAGCTGAAGCCCAGCACTGTGTTGAAGGAAACCTGGTGATTTCTTTTACCTGTGTCCAAATTTCCATTAATTTTCTGACCCCTTAAAGACTGCTCTCTGGCAGTGTTCCTCTCTTCCATGTGCGCCCATGGTCATGGCTTATCTCTGCCACATTCTAGTTAGGTTACAATATGAAATGTGATTAAACAGTACAGTAAATATTTACATTTTAAAATGTATTGCAGTAAATACACATCACCATTAATCCCCCTCAAAATTCTCACCCTGTTTTCAGACACGTTTCTCTCATTGTTCTTGCCACTTTCTTTTTTTTTTCTTTTCCCGGTACCAGGAATCGAACTCACGACCTCACGCTTGCCAGGCAGGCACTGTGCTGCTGAGCTAAATCCCCAGCCCCGTTCTTGCCACCTTCTAAAGCAATTCTGGAAGTCCATTTTCAGGAGTATTTTTAGGTGTGTTTTACAATTCCCTGATGTTCTAAATCAGCTCAAAACATGTATGTTGCCTGATCATTTTACTGTGGGAAAGAGCTAGAAGTCACCCTTTGCCAGATCCTGCAAATAAAGTGCATGAGGACCTACTGTGATACTTTTATAAGCTTGCCTTTCTGTTGGACGGCACCCAGCAGCAGCATTCACTGTATTTTTAATCACACCTGGGAAAAATACTCAAGAATTGAGATACCCAGAATTGCTTTAGAACGTGGCAAGAATGATGGGATAAGGGTTTGAAGTGAGGGGGAGCATTTCCAGGGGATTTATGGCAATGTATCTTTTACTGTAGTAATTTTTTTCATTTAAACTTTCACCATATTGTTTGATCACACCTCGTAGCTCTCATTTATTGAATGCATTGGCCACAAAATATGTTGAACGTACCTTTTCTGTCTCATTACCATGGTGCCGTGAACTATTGTTGCTCTGTGTAGCAGGGTTGTGGCAGGCTCAGAGCACTTCCTTGCAAGCTGGAGGGCAATAGTTCTTTATTGATGGACTCAGGGCCTCCTGTTTTCATTTTGTGTTTGAGTGCCTCCGACTGAGTGCAGGTAACCGATCCCAGAAGACCGTGAGTTCTACGTGAAACTGGGAAGATTTCGTACTTCTGCTTATGTGTGTCTCATTGTACCTAACAGTAACCTCTGAATTACTATCTCTTGACTTGAATCCTGAATTGAAGGGAAACAAGAAACCAAAGTCAGAAACTGACTCTGGAATATTTTCAGGCAGTATTGGCTTTTGTTGCTCTGTGCCTGGCACAGGGTGATGGAGTAACATGAAGTCATGTAATGCTGTAGCTGTTCTTTTTGCTGTATCCCACAGACTTCCAGCACAAGATCACTGTGCAGGCCTCCCCCAGCTTGGACAGGCGCAGGAGTTGGGACAGCAGGAGCTCCAGCCCGCCCAGCAGCCCCACCATGCTTCCCCGCCTCCGGGCCATTCAGTGTGAGTGTCCTCTCTGGACTCCACTCATTTTGTTGTCTTGGATTCAAACTGAGGGGCATGTTTTCACAGCAGTCAGTGAGTATGTGACATTGAACAAGTGTGGCAACAGTTTGGAAAAGAAAATTTGGTATCCTTAGGCCAGTTTCCTTATGCTCTTACTCATACGTGATCCTTAGATTCTGCAGTGGGTGCCGTGAGCAGACTCCTGGATGGCAGGCGAAGGATGGCTTTCTGAGATCTTCTGTTAACTGCTGGCCTGCAGAATAACTTCAGTGGATTGTCCCATGGGTCCCTTACATATGGATATTTTGAAAAGTGAAATGAGAAACTCAGGGTTGCTTCCACTTGACTACCTTTTTTTGTGAGGAAAAAAGTGTTTTACTTGTTGAGATTAAACTGTAATCTACTTTGGGTGTGACCAAACTAATCCTTCAAAGCACTACCTGGTATTTTGGTTTCAGAGAGGGCATTTGCCTGGAGGAGACACGGTATGCAGCTCCCGTATAGGCAACTTTACACGGCTAAGGTTCAGTTAGATCCCAAATCAGAGTGTAGTAGGACAAAATAAAATTACTGATCTTTTTCAAGGGTTACGTCTATGTAGAATACTAAAGAAGGCTAAGCAAGAAAAGAATGTGATTGATACAAGTAAATTACCGTATTAAGTCATTTAAGACCTTTCCTTCCTGTACCAAACTGCTTATTATCCTTATTTGGAGAACAGAAATGTTTATGCACTAAAGGGAAGATACTGAGGATTGAACCCAGGGCCTTTGTTCTGAACTATATCCCCAGGTCCCAACCCCCTTATTTGTTAATAGGGTCTCACCAGGTTGGGCTCAAACTTGACAGTCCTCCTACCTCAGCCACCCGGAGTGCAAGGAACATGGGTGTGCAGCACCACACCTGGCTTTTCTTTCTTTTTTTTTGTCTTTTTGAGACAGGGTCTCGCTATGCAGTTCAGGCTGGCTTTGAGCTCACTTTGTAGCCCAGGCTGGTCTCGAACTTGCAACGATCCTCCTGCCTCAGCCTCCCGAGTGCTGGGATTACAGGGGTGCGCCACCACATCCGGCTTTTTGTTTTGTTTTTTTTTTGGTACCGGGAATCGAACACAGGACCTTGCACTTGCCAGGCAGGGACTTGTGCCACTGAGCTATATCCCCAGCCCCCTGGGTTTTCTTCTTTCTTTCTTTTCCTCTGTTTTGGTTTGGTTTGTGTTTTTTGGCAATGAAAAGCTTGGTACCAGCAGAGACTTACTTTTTTCAAGGTCCCAGACACAGTCTCCCACATAGTTCATTTGTCACTTTGCGTACAGCTCTTTGTGCCAGGCCTTTGCCTCGGCAGACTAAGGGCCTGATTGAAGGAAGGGGAAGGCATCAGGGCCTCAGTCTGGGGAGGAGCAGATAGTGAACCATCCCCTCCACCTTGACCTGGCATTTCTCTCCTCACTCTCTGTCTTCAAGTTCTGTGTTCAGGAACTACAACCGCACAGAAGTGGAGAGGTGGTGCTGAGCAGGCCTGACTCGTCCCAAGACTTTCACAGGCCAAAGCACATACTTTGGGGATCAGATAAATCACTTCCCATCCTGAAGTGAAGCTCAGAGAGGAGCATCCTGGTTGATCAGTCTCCAAAGTAACAGCAAACACGTTCTCCCAGTGTTCCTAAAAGAACAGGCCCTACGTGCAGGGCTGTGGGCTGAGGTCCTCTCACCGGATCCTGGGCATCTTCGTCCTGCTGCGAGTGTGCCAAAGCTGCTTGTGGTTTGGACTTGGGGTCCCCCGGCCATGGCTCCACAGGGACCCTGTTGTTGTCATGGTGGTCAGGATAGAGGGCAGGTGAGCATGGACTCTGGAATGTGCTGTCAGAAGTTGAATGCCACTGTGGCTGCCCCTGTGACTTGGGACAAATCCTTAACCTCATCACACCTCTGACTCCATTTCTGTGAGTTGGCTCAGAATTACATGGAGTGTTCTAGAGCATTCAGAATGGTATCTGCATGCAGGAGGTGCTCTGAGTATGTGGACGATTACGGTTGCTGTCATTTGTCCTGTTACTTCGCCGGACCACATGTGTGCTCCCAAAGTGTGCACACCAGACATAAGAATAACTCATGAGGAGGGGGAAAAGGCAGGTGATGAGAACCTTAGATACTTTCAGATTTTAAAAGGGCAACAACAGTAATTAAACTATATGACAACAGGGCAACTAATGAGAAGTTAGCTTACATGACAATCTTAAAAGTATAGCTGTTCCTTCAGTCCCAAACGTTAATTGGTTTGGCTAAACAGTGAAGAGTATTAAGTTCATTATTCAGTTTAGCTCCTTTTCCCCCCAGTTATCAGGAAAATATTTTTCTTTCAAAGAGTGGTAAGTAAATAAGTAATCAGTCCTTTGTTGCTAATTTTCCTTAAATTTATGTATTTTCTTTTAATTCCTTCTACTCTGCTTGTTTTTATCATTAGAAAAAGAAATTTTCCGAGGATAAAGGAAATGAATGAGTTCTTCACTGTTTTCACATTTCCAGATAGGCGGCCTCCTGCTAACTCCATTGATGTCGCTTTGGTTTTTTGTGGGTCTGGGGATTGCAAAGACTTCATATCGGCCTCGCCTCTTTTTTTCCTTATTTTTTATATTTGAGACAGGGTCTCGCTGAGTCACTAAGTGGCCGGGCTGGGCTTGAACTTAAAGGTCCTCTTGCCTCAGCCTCGCAGGGTACAGGGTGCACAGGCCCTCCCTCTCGTGTCCCCTTTTTAACGGTGCTGATGTTGGCTGACGATGATGTTTTCCGCCTAGTGACATCTGATGAAAACAATAAAACCTGGGGAAGGAACATGGTCTTCCGGCAAGAAGAATTTGAAGATGTGAAAAGGAATTTCAAGAAAAAAGGTTGTACATGGGGACCAAGCTCAATTCAAGTGAAAGAAAGAACGGATGGCAGAGAGAGGTGCGTGTGAGGGCCAGTGGTGTCCGGTGCCCACTCTGACCACGTGGTACCTGGGCTGCTGTCATACTGGCCAGACCTCTAGATCGGTACAGCAGCTCCTGAGTGTCACTTTAATTTCCAAGGATGAGTTTGTTGTAGGAACTGCAATAAATGATTATTTAGTTAAGTAAACAGTTTCTCTGACCTCTTATTGCCTTGTTTTAAGGTTTTATTTATACTTTGTTAGCTCTTCAAAACTCAAGAGTACAGGTGTCTTCTTTTTATACCTTCAAAAATATTTTTGCCTTGTGTCCACCAAAACCCAGTTTGTAAGTCATGTGATTCTGCTTTATGAAAACAAACGTCTTTCTCTTGTAGGGTGAGGCCTCTCTCTGATGGCAACAGCCCTTGGTCAGCTGTCCTAATAAAAAGCCAGAAAACCACACCCTTGGCCTCCCTCTTTGTGGACCAGCCAGGTAAGTGAACATCAGGAAGAATGTGCTGGTGATCAACTTCGCATCCGCATAATCTGAGGCTTTCATGTCACAGTCTCCAGTGATCCTTATAGGAGCGAAAGAAGGGAGGCTGTTTAGAGGTTCTTACGTTTAAGCCCAAAAGTTGTTTTCCATTCAGTCTTTCATGGCAGAACATGATTGGGCTCCATGTGGTTTTTTGGGAATTTGTAATTTCTAATTTTTAACAGAAAAGATAGTATTATGTACAGTCAAGTAACTGTAGTGCAGGAGAGAGCAAACGTGAAAACACGCGCTCCCTAAGCACTCTGCTGAGAGGAGGTGGGGCTCATACAACATTGCTATTTAAGGGGCTGGGAATTTAGCTCAGTGGCACAACGCCTGCCTGGCAAGCGCAAGGTCATGAGTTTGATTCCCAGTACCGGAAAAAAAACAAAAACAAAAAACAAAACAAAACAAAAAAACAGCATTGCTGTTTGGTGACCTGAGTTCAAAGAGATGGGAATTTATTAGGAAACCTCAACGATAGTCTTTATACTGGACAGTTTAAAGTGGTCATTTGATGCTGTGATAAAATTAAGTTCAAACTGTTTTTAGCAAAATATGTTTGTTGGATTTATTCAGTGTGACATACTCACTATGTTGTGTGTGTGCATTTTTAGACATTGATGGTTTTGTTCCCAATCATTTCTGTTACTGAGGCTGATGAGGAACAGCTTCTTGAAAGATAGGAAACATCCGAATTCCTCGCAGGTTTGTCTGTGGGGAGCTGAGTTGTAGGGTCTTGGAGACTTGTCCCTCAGAGTCTTCCTGGGTGAATTATTTGCCAAGATGAAGGGACTCTATGTGCTTTGATTTAAAATATTCATGAGACTTTAGTTATTTTACAATATAATTTAAACGATTTTTTGACCATGAAATGAGACCACAGTGTTTGTATTTATACCTTTCTTTAGGATCTAGCGAAGAGCCAAAACACGTTGCTGAAGGAGAACACAGAAAACCAAAGCAAATGAAGTTACCTGGTCAGGCCTACACTGATCTACCTCTCTGCAAAGATGGTCAGAGACAGAACCTGGGGGAGGCTGAGGGCTGGGAAGAGGGACCCACATTGAGCTCTGCTGTGGCGCTCCCTCGGGGGATGCCTGCAACCAGCCCCAGTGGACCCCACAGGAAGAAAACGGAATCAGCTCTGTATGGGTGTGCGGTGCTGCTGGCGTCGGTGGCACTGGGACTTGATGTCAGGGGGCTTGGCAGAGCAGAGGCTGTGGAAGAACTGCCACCCAAGGAGGGCGTGAAGATCCAAGATGGGGTCCTCCCGCAGGCCTCCAGACCATCCCCTGTGCTGCTGTCCGCAGGCAGGGACCCCAGCAGCACCACAAGCCTCTCCGTGAGGTGCTTATCACAAATGAATGGGGACAAGCCAGCCAAGGGCAACACCCAGATTCCTCATGACCCTGAGATACCCAACCTGGATTTCTGTCCGACTTGTCCAGAAAGCAGCAGAGAACTGGCCCTGGGGCCAAGACTTGAGACTGATTGCAGAGTATTGGGAAGCCTGTGTCCCTCCTATCCGGGGCAGACACGTGATGGGAATGTGCCTTATACTTCCCCAAAAGACAGAGCCTCACATCACAGACAGACCTCATCAGATGGAAATCCTTCTCCGACTCCACGTAGGTTACATTAGTAGTTAGTGGGGGAAAGTGCACACCACAACTGTAGAGATCTGGGCTGTGTGGTCTCCTTTCCCTAGTGATTATATTTAATAACTTATTGCTGTACACATGGACCTTTGAGTTTTATATTTTTCTTTTCTTTGATCTTAAATTATAACTCAGATTCTGGAAAAACTATAATGAAATGTCAGTAACTTTGGTGCATAATAGCATGATAAGGATAAAGAGTGTGTGGAGAATAACTGGCCCCGACCCTTGGTCACAGAACGCAAGTCATAGATCCAGATTCCAACTGGTATTTAGTGGGAGGGTTGGACCTCAAGTTGGCCTACGCTTCCCCTCCACACCCTGTCTCCTGAAGCCTGGATGGAGGTTAGCAAGCATCTCGGTGTGCTGGGCTCTGGAGCAAAGCAGTTTAAGCAGCAGAACCTTATTTTCTCACAGTCCTAGAGGCTGGAAGTGCAAAGTTGAGTTGCAGGCAGGGCTACTTTCCTGTGAGGCCTTTCCCTGTATCCTCATGTGGTCTTCCCTCTATGTGTGTCTGTCTTGATCCCCTCTTCTCATAAGGACCCTTGTCACCCCAGATGAGGACCACCCGATAACTCTGTTTTAATTTCATGACATCTGTCATGATCTGAACATTCTGATGTCGCATTCTGAGGTGCCAGGGGTCAGGGATCCAGTGCGTGGGTTGGGGGAGCACAGTTCAGCCCAGGACAGCAGGAATCACCCTTCTGATGCATAGCACATTGTACAGTCCCATGAGTTTAGTGTGCAGGTATGGAAGCTCAAAAAGAAAAACAAGTGAGGTGTTCTAATAGGTTTTTCTAGTTCGTTGAACAAGGCTTGAAAGCCATGTGTGCTCGCTGGTAGCACTTTGTAGATGATAAAAGCACTCATATAAATGGTCTGTCTTTATCTTTATGGAAACTTTATTACACATGTACTGCATGCACCTAGGTGCAAAAGCAGGAGTAGAACTCGTGAAAAATTAGTGACTTACCCAGGATCTCACAGTTAGCAGGCAGTGGTGGCAGGATTTGTATCTAGGATCTCCCCCTTCGTTATAGGGGAGCCATCTTCCCATTTCTACACTTCAGTGATCACATGATCAGATCATGTTGTTACACGCAGAGCGGTAGTCACTGTCACATTTCTGAACTGTGTGTGGCTCTTCAGTCTGGTCTCAGAAGAGACACTATGGCTGCTTAAGAGGAACAGTTGATTTGCAGCGACAGGACCAAGGTTCAAGTTTCAGTGGTTCATCTGGTGAACGGGTAATCCTGCAGAATTATATAACCTGCTTGCTCATTTGAATGCTGCTGCGGTCATCAAAGGGTCACAGGTAGCAGCAGGGAAGCTGTCTGGGCTCAAGTTTGCTGTGTGACCTTGACCTTGCACCAACTCTGTCTCAGTGTACTCTGTAAAATTGGGATGATAATCGTATTAATATGCATATCTGATAATGTGCTTAGCTGATCTGTACTGTTACTAGAATTATGACAAAAATCAAGTAGTACTCTGAGCAATGGTTAATATTTCTTTTATATATGAAGATAATGACAATAACCTCGTATGCTTCTCATGAGCATTAAACGAGGTAAAATATATGAAAAAAAGCCTTTTACACATAAATTGAAAATGCTATAAGAAGGTCAGTTATATAGCTTTATTAAAACTGAAACTTCTTTTATTATTTATTCTACTTCATTTCTAAATACTAGATTATTACTTACTGTATTTAGATAAACGGTTTGTTACCCCTTTGTCAGTCAGTAGAGTACTGGTCATTTATAACTGCAGAAAGAGGAATCTTGTAGCACAATAACCCCATAAACAGCATTCTTTTTGTCTGTTACTAGGTAATTCCCTGCGAAAGTGTGATAAGTCGACTCTTCTGTATAAACAAGAGAAGAGGTGGCATGTAAAAACCTGACCTCTTTCCTCTTCTCATCATTTTTTTTGAATCCTGATCTCAAGTTTAACAATGTGAACCATCACTTCCAAAAGTCCTGAATTTATTCCACTTTGAAATCCGCCCTGCTTGCAGAACACTTGTAATGCTTATGGGCCTGTGTACTCTGAAAGTTATCTGGCTCCACTGACAGATGTAACTCCTGCGGGTGGAGACACCTCTGACCTGGCCTTCCTTCTCCACTAGGGAAGACTGCCACCCGAGTGGCCATAGAGATGGCATCAGCGCTTCCCTGTTGAGGTTTACTTTAAAGGGTTCATCCACTTGAGGTGTCATCTCAGTTGCTTTTCCTGAGGTCATGGTTTCAGAAGTCATGGTTCTTCTAATGGTGCCTTGTCCTGTTGTGGCTCTCTCCTGGCAGGTGCCCCTGGAGCCTCTGCACTGCCACCTCCTGCCTCACCTGGCCCTCACAGTGACCCGCCGAGCCAGGTCTCTGCTGAACTGAATGGGGCTGTCACAGTCCTGCTGCAGCCTGGGTTGGTCTCCCAGAGAAGTCCGTCAGACATGCCAAGGGCCGTCCCACGCAGGGCACAGTCCCAGCCTGCCCGGGCAGCCTGTGGCGGGGGCCGCACAGGGCCAGGCCCTGCCTGTGTCCTGGGTACCCAGGCGCCTTCCTCAGCGGGTGCCAGTGTGGATGGGCAAAGCCAAGACTGCGCTGGGCCTCTGTGCAGGATGAAAAGCCCAGCTCACCAGCCGTCCATCTATGTCCTGGAGAAAGAGTTTCTGACTTAAGTGCCTTTGCTGCTGAAGCATTCTTGGTTTAGGTGAACAAATGCAGCCACTGTGCCTTTGAGGCGTGTTCTCTTGCTGTGTGTTGAAAAGCTGCCATCAAGTGACTCCATTAGGACTAGATGCCAACTCCAGAGGGGCACATGACTGCTGTTAGCTGTCCGTATCCTGTCCCCTGGCTCCTACCTAGTAATTTGAAATACACAGAAGTGTAAACCAAAAAACATGCCACAGGTAGAACCGTGCTGGGTAAAATCTCCTTAAGCACTTTTTTTCTTCAACTTTTATTACTACATGTTCGCAGTACATAATGATTACATCCACTGTAGGGGATTGGTTCATGTACATCGCACATTTCATTTCCCTTCTTTTAAGCATTGTCTTAAGGCCTTGTTAGTTTTCATGTCCCCTCCACCCGTGAGCGCACAGTAAAGTGTTGAAGACAGTTGTCTTGCTTGCTTGGATCCTTCTCTTTTTTTTTTTCCTTCAACTTGTTTTTAATCTGTGCCACAGAAAGCCAAGAAATAACTATTGGTTTCTTGGCAATGATAATGTGATGTAGGAAAAGATATATTTATTTAAAAATCTGTTGGTTAGAACAGATGCAGAGTGCTGTTTAAAAGTCCTCCGCTGTGGACTTCTGATGCATAAATATGTCCAATTCTCACCTCAGTTATACAATGATATTTCACTTTGAGAAATTCTACTGAAGGTAACTTATGAAAGTCTCGCTGATTGTAACTGCCAAACATTTTGTCCATTAGAACTCTAAGATGGATGCTAGAGATCAGTGATTAACTGTGGTCAGGACTACTGCATCCCGGGTGAGCCTCGGGGTGCCGGTGTTCCTGCAGAGAAGCCTCTGTTGACTTGGCTTGTATATGAAAAATGCTTCATTCTCAATATCTTGTGCATCTTGTGTGTGATAAATTGCACATGCCCATGTTCACAGATACCTTGTATTATAAACATTCACATCATGTAATTTTACTTTTCTGTATTTGTGTACACAGTTATTCTAACACTGCCAACTCAAGGAATTACAATTGTTAGAATTTAAATTCTTCTTGCTATTACTTTACATTTCGTTTAATTGTGGATGTTAGACATCTATTGCAATAAGCAGTTATGGTGGAAATAATCTGTGTTACAAGTTATTTCCAGAATTGAGTTTGTAAAATGTGTCTTGGAATATCAGATGAGGATTTTAAATGAGTTAAAGGTATTGATGGGTCACTTCGATAATCATACAAATAGACTGCTGTATTATTAGGACAGCGAATGTTCTGCAAGAGCTTGGGGATTTTGCCTGGGTTTCTTATCTGCTGTGTTTCCCTTCTGTCACTAGGATGGTTATTCCAAATGCAGACAATAAATACTTAAAATGTTCCATGCCGTGAAGAGCTAAGTTACAGTTCTTGCTATTTCATTTAAAATTATAACTTAGTTAAGGTTTACCCAATTGCAGTTGCAGAAATTGAAGGTAGATTAAATCAAGTGTCGGGATATTTTAGTCACCACAAAGAGGTGTCCGTGGGCCTGTAGGGACAGCACTCATATAGCACAGTAGCCGTAAGGAAACAACCCTGCATTTCAGATTCTTGCCGCAAAAACTTGAGTACTTATCATGTTTTGTGATATTCTTGTTTGTTGTATAATTTGGCTTCACTTTTGAGTCGTTATTAAACTAAATAGTAAGGATTTGGTTTCCTAAAAGCTTCATCATATTTGACGTCTGGTTGGTTGCTTTACACAGAGTCATTTGGAGGGTGTAGCTTCCAGCTAAAAACAAAGTAGATTCATGTCCCAAATAACCATGTATCAGAGAAAAGGTGTGGTATCTGTCCTCCGTTCTCCACAAGGACATCCCGTGTGTGTGTGTGTGTGTGTGTGTGTGTGTGTGTGTGTTGGGTGTGGGTAATGTTAGGTTTATATGTGTGTGTATGATAAGAGTAGGGGTGTGATGGGTGTGCATGTGAAGTTTGGATGTGTGCGATGCTTGAGTATAAGTGGACATGGTGTCCATCTATCCTGTCCCTCTCCTCTCTGTCCCACCTCCAGGTCAGCTCTTACATTATGATGAGGTTAGAAATGAAGCTTTCTCACTCAGCTAAGTGCAGTATGAAGACTCACTCTCACATGGTCTTGCTGATAGTCGTTTATTGCTGTGATACTTGGACACTTGTGGTTTTTTATGTGTGTTAACCCACTTACTAGAATCTATTTGTTTATTTTCATGTAGACTTAATAGATCACCAAAAGATCAATGATGCTGATTGCTGTCCCTGAACAACTAAGGTGCTTCCCTGCACAGCCTGGAGGTATGGGCCTGACACGCTGTATTATGAAGTCTGTGGGAAAGATGTTTACATACATTGTCTATTTTTTAATAAACTTTTTTATAGCTGGTCTGTTTGTTCCATGGCTTTGATCTACTCCTGATGATTGTAACACTAATTTGTAATAGTTCTCTTATATACCATAAGGAAAAATGTGTTAATAAAGATGATTAGTACTTAATAAGCACGGTAATTACCCTGCTAAATTCATTAAATTGAAGGACTCCGAGTCACAGGAATTGAATACGGCAATAAAAATTATAAGGAAGAATCTTATTTAGAATGTTGTTTGGTTTACCTGTGCACTGAGAAGTTGTGTTCTGTGGTGAGAATTTGACCACTGGGTTTTTGGAAGACATTTCTGTAAAGTGGAGTTAGTATAAGAAGTAAATCTCCGCTGATGCTATAGGAAGGTGAGTAATGAAATATCTCAACTGTTAACCTATTACAATTGGAAGATTTTCAAACACCACCCAAAATGTGGTAATTCTTACCAGGTGATTAAGAATTGGTGAGCTGGGATGCGGAGAGTAGGACTGCATGAAAGCCTATAGCATCACCTTGCTGTATAAGTGGGAGTGAAGTTTAACGTCTGTGGTACATCCACCAAGTATTAATGACCTTGTTAGATGGCTCTGAGACACTTCCTGAAATTTTCTGTAATAAGACTTGTAAGCTGCGTAGTAGTAGGCCTAGTTCATTAAGTATGCAGCAGAGAAGTTTGGTAAATTTCTCAAGACCCAGCCCATGTTGTGTCACACCTGTTGTGGCTGAGCATGTAGGGGTCAGGCAGGTTATATGTGCACTTTGCAAGTGGTATCTAAAGTTAAGGTAGTTTCTCACTCAGAAAAAAGATAAAAGATCTAGAAATAAGTGTATGCTTATTTAAACTAACACATTGTGTTAACTGGCAGTGGTTGATACAATGGGATACTCCCTAAGTGTTAAATGAAATAGTACTAAAATAAGCATGCATAGCCCATGCTTTTAAACACAGGAAAAAAAAAAAAGAACTATTACTTGTTTTCCAATAAATGCAATAAAAATGATAACAAACTAACATGTCCACCTGAGGTAGTTGAAAGAGTGTGGTATAAGCTATGTTTGGATTGTGGAGGACTTTGCATGCTGGCCTAAGGCTCTGGCACTGTATTTGGCATTTAAAACAAGGAACTGCAGGTTATAATTTGGAGTATGTATTAGAATTTCCCAGAGAAACTGAACTAAGAAGATACATGTCTGTAGAGAGATTTCTAAGAAATTGGCTCATATAATTGTGGAAGCTGCCAAGTGCAAATTTTGGCAGGGTTGATGCTGCAGTTTGTGTACAAAGGCCGACAGGAGGCTGCAATTCCATGCTCAAATTGTCAGCAGGGATGGATTCTTCTGAAGTCTCTGTCCTTAGCTTGTAGATGGCGGTCACCTCCCCGTGTGCTGCATGGTTGTCCTATGCCTATGTCCTAATTTCCTCATCTTAAAGCGACCCCAAGAAATTGGAAGGCAGCTGTGCTCACCACTATACCACCAACGCACATGACCCCAGGAAATTGGGATACAGGCATAGGACAACCCCAGGGGCCAGGGATGCAGCGGTATAGCACTTGCCTAGCAAGCACACAGTCCTGAGTTTGATTCCCGGTACCAAACAAAAAGGCGGAGCCCAGTCTTACTGAATCAGAGCCCACCCTAATGACCTAGTGACCTCCCATGAACTTGGTTAACTGAAAGATCCATCTCATGTTATAGTCACATTCTGAGGTGAGGGGGTGGGGCTTCCACTGGAGTGTCATATGTTCACTGTTGCAGTGATAGATACAGGTCAACCAGGAAGAATTTAAGTCCCTGAAGATGAGATGTCACCAGCTTTTACAGCAAAAATAAAAGGAGCCAGAGTCAACGAAAAGAACTTAAAGCCCTCAAATTGAGCATGTGGCTGCAGGAGAGAAGGGCCAGAACATCCGGCCACCTAGGGGACTGTGAGCCACAGCAAGACAAGAAACAGATGGTGCTTTGGTAGTGTGAAGGTCTATCTCCGCACGGCTGTTTGCAGTTCTGTGTGATGCTTCATCCACCTGGCAGGTGAGGCTGTTCAAGACAGATCAGAGTAGGAGAGTTGAGTCCTCTAAATTTTGGTGATTGTTGCTAAGCAGCTTAGAGAAGGAATGGAAACATAAGAAAGCTCTCTGGGCAAAAGTAAGAATAGCCAGAGTGTGACACAAAGAAGGATGAAAAAGACCCAGAAAACGGAAGGCAGGGACTATCCCATTAGAGCTCCTCAGATGCTTCCTGCATCCGTGACAACTTCGTGAGCTAGTCCTGAGAATTCAATGAATTCCTGGAGCTCCTGGCACTTAAATCCTTCCTGCTGAAAGTAGGAAGAGAATCTGGATGCTCATCTATTTTATTATTAAGTGTAACCCTGTTGAGATCCACCTGGCCATAAAACTCCAAGGCGGAGGTGTCAACCCAAGAATGCAGAACCAACAAAAAATATAAATAAATGAGACTCTGGTATTATGATTACCAGTATAAAATATAAGAAAAGGGGCTGGGGATTTAGGTCAGTGGCAAAGTGCCTGCCTGGCAAGTTCAAGGTCGTGAGTTCGATTCCTGGTACCAGAAGAAAAAACAAGCAAACAAATAAAATATAAGAAAGGAAGAAATGGTACCTATATTGAATTTTTAATTATAATGAGGGCATAGAGTACAAATCTGATTTTTTGTTGTTGTTGTTTACTTGTGAGTTAGCAATACACTGTCCCTTAAAAGGACCTGTCTGAAAATGTTTGGACTGACTGGGGTAGAGTTCAATTTTAGTGTTTAACAGTGGTAATTTTTTTTAACCAAATTATGTGTTAGGCATTAGCCTTAATTAGCCATACAACAGACTACTACGTAAAAGATTTTTAAAAATCTGCAGAGGTATATTTTTATAGTAAAACTATAACTCTGTGTAAGGTGTTCTTTGTTCTCATTATATTTGCTTGTGTTTGTGTGGATGTGTGTAGTCCATTTTCAATTATTGACCCAAATGCAATTAATGATTTGTGGAAACGAGAACCTGCTTGTTTCTCTTTCCAAACAAGACCAATAGCATAAAGGATACACTTAAAATTTTGACATCCCATGCAAAGTTTGATTTAATCACATGACTACGAATAACACTCATGAATAACATTTAAAAATACTTGAAAATTTGTGTATATTCAACATGTATAATCTTTTTTTGCCATTGTTCCCTAAACAATACAGTACAGCTACTATTTTCATAGCACTTATATTTTATTAAGTATTATAAATAATCTAGCAAGTATATAGGAAGATGTATACAGTTTACATGCAGAGACTAAATTACAAGGGATTTAAACATTCTCAGATCCTCGGGGATCTGTCCTGGAACCAACCCTCTATAGATATAGACAGATGACTATGTGGACTTTGAGTTTGGAATTAATATTTCATGGAGTATCATGTTGCCATTTAATGTTTGTTTATTGCTTGTGATCTATTCTGATTGAAAATGCCATTATTTTTAACTTTTTATAGTCACCATCTCCCTGCTTCCTATTTCTAACATTCTAAAATATGATATTTATTCAAACTTTCACATTGTTTTAGAATGAGAAGTCATTTTTAAAAATACCATAGAATTTGACTAGATTGTTTTGTTGCCCTTTAAATATGAATAAACAAAAAAGCCTCTTAAAAAAAAGAAAAAAGAATGCAGAACCATGGCCCAGCTCTCGTTGCCTTGCATCTTATATTCCCTTCTAAAGTGTAAGGAGACAGCACAGTGGTGCACACCGTATTTAAAAGTCCCTCTGCCCATAGCTAAAGTGTAGAAGTCAGTGTTGAATCCGTCCACCATTTGACGTCACACATGCCGATAAAACTTCCAGGTCCCACTGGCCATCTGGCCTCTTGGCTGCTTCTACATATGGCTGTAGAGCCACTGTCAGCAGTGTTGTGTACCCTGCTGTTGGTCCAGGCCAGCACTATTTGCCTAGTAGCGGAGGATATCCCTAAAATCCGTCCACTGAGGTGTGAGAAGTCAGACTAATGACACAGACTCTGGTCACACAGTTTCACTACTCTGGATATCCAGAACCTAAGCATCTTCATTAATGTCCTCTCTCAATGTTTTAACTTTGTTCATTAAGGAATGTTTTCCACAAGAAATACAAATCAAATTCTATTGCATAAGTCTGTAGGAAAATATTTGTTTGAAAACCAAAAGCATTTTGCTTAGGTTTGATCACATGTGTGAACTCCAGAGACCCATAGCTTGCCTGAGCACTAATTGAAGGATATTTTTGTCCCCTTGCTGAGTAGGCACCGAGCTGTCAATAAGCCACATCTTTTTCCCTGAAACTTGTGGTTGTAGAGGTACAGACATGAGTAAAGCCCATGAATTCGGTAATAATTTTTCCTTCCATTGCCTTGTGACCCAAAGGTCACACACAGGACCTGCTTCAAAACCTTGAGCCCTACACGGGGCCTTCTGCCTTCTGTGCACGAGGTGGCGCTGTACACACACAATTTCAAGGACCAGGGAGTTCAGCTCAGCCTGTGTGTGAATTTGCCAAAGTTGCCCTGTTAGGAGAAAAAAGCAAAATAATGCGTGTAATTTGGGAAGGTGCTGGCGAGTGAGGGGGAGCAGAGGAAAATGATTTTTCAGTGGTGTTCGTACAGGAACAAGGAAACTTTTGCATAATCCTCTGTTCCAAATAGGGAGACTGGGAGGAGCTTCACAGCTGCAAAAAATGGCCACTTCTCCAACTGCCCAGCCCAGGCAGGAGGAAGCCAGAATATCCCAAACAGGAGTGTCCTATTGTCCTCAGACTGCTCTGCTGCCCTCAACAACCCTCAAAAATATCTGCGTAGAAAGTGTTCCTGGCCGGGGATGTAGCTCGGCAGCACACAGCCTGCCTGGCAAGCGCAAGGTCCTGAGTTCGATTCCCAGTACAAAAAGAAGAAGATAGCCGGGGAAAGTGTTCCCGCAGGGCCACTCACTCTAAACTGATCACACTGTAGTCGCCTCTGTGCACTGACAGAGCACAGCACACAGCA